TTGAAAGATTGATTTTGTTTTTCCCATAGGTCGGACGCAGACCAAATTCAAATGCGAAACAGTACACACAAACATACTCACACACACACACTCATGCGGAGAGAGAGACATAGACAGAAAAAACCGAATATCCATCGAAAGAATTCATAGGCAGATCGGCGGCGAAGAGTTAAAAGGGAAACAGCATTCGGAATAGGAACTGCGTTCGGCCTTCGAAATGAAAAAGAACACATTCCAGCTGATTCGTTGAGCGTAACGGTTAATGTAATTTGTGTGTAGAATTGATATTATTTATTCTGAAATAATAATGAAAGAATTCGCTCTCGGCTTTGCTTTGCTTTGAACTGGATTTTTTTTTGCTGCAAAGAATTTGATGGAATGAAGCAGCCAGTGCCATTTCAATGGAAGAACAAAAAAAACAGTTGAGCATAAAGAGAAAAAAGAGCTTGCACTCGAAAAATATGTGTGTTTGTGCAAGAGTAGCGTGGGGCTGGGTGAAGGAGAAAGGTATTGTGGCAAAAGAATCCAGCCGAAAACGCGTGGATCGAAAAACAAACAAAGCGCTAAAATTCCCAAAGGCGTACCAGAAACTGTGAGTGGATTGTGGCTCATTGAAACCATGAGCAAACGAAGAACAGAGCGAACATTGAACAAAAATATGTATATCGCCATCGAACATCACATTTCATTTCCGTCTTCAGTTCGGAATGTTGTACACACACACACATACATGCTAAGTTTGTTTCATTTTTTTTGTTATTCTCTGTACTGAGACCCAGTTATATTCACTCGACTATCGTTTTGTGTGCAAGAAATAAAAACGAAAGAATACCCACCGAAACGCATCGAAGAATTCTTTTTCGCGCCGCTAATTTATTCATAAATTACACTTCGCATAAATGGGTAACAGCTCGCACAAACGAACTAAAAATTATATGCTTTACAGTTCACAAGGCAAAAGCAGAGCAGGGGAAAGCATCGGCAAATTATTGCTACAAACAGACCATTGTTCTGCTCGAAGACATTTGCACTTCGGCCGTGAGCGCGCACACGCACACGTTTGTTTGCTCGCTTGCGCTCGTCTTCACGAAACAGCAGAGAAAACAAAGAAAGCGTGGGCGATAAAGACACACACATATATAAACACACTCTGGCTGCCAGATCAGTGCTGAACGGCATTTCTCTGCTGTTTTCTTTCTCCCGACAAGGTTTCTCGTGCGCCAGCAACTCGACAATGCTACGACCTTCAATAAATCGTGATCTACTTTGTGCACAGATGAAACAGCAAAACAAACACACCGAACAAAGTATGAAACAATACAATGGAATGTTAACAATACAATCAAGATGTAAATCCAACGGATTCTCTTCACTTCTCCAACAAAACACAAATCAATTTATGTTTGTTTATTTGTACACGATTTTTGCTTGAGATAAAACTAGAGATACAACCATTTTACACACACACACACACGCTCACAGAAAACACCTGACATTTGAATTGGCAAATGGCCAAAGAATGTTTGCAAAAAATTGAGATAAAATGCCTCGATCTATCGATCAATTCGGCCAAATGTAACGGAAGTAAAATGTAAATTGAGTCACTGAACTCGCTTTTCCTATGCAACATTTTTAAGTAAATTCAATTATGATTTTCAATTTCATTTTCTCTTTCAATTGCATTGAATCGGGGCTCGATTAAAAATAGCTTCATTAGTTGAATTTTTCACTCGGTCGCCTAAGTCGCCTAATTCATGCCACATTTAATTTTTCATTCAGTTCCACGGAACACTTCGTACTTAAGCTGGTATCCACACTGGTTCGGGCTGCATCGATGTGTTGTGTTGTGTGTATGTGTGTTTGTCGGTGCAAATGAACTGAATATGAAATGCGTTGAATGAATAATAAATTAAGGTCCGGTATTGTTTGATACTACGTGTTTGCTAAATAAGCGGAATTTTCGTAATTAAAACTGCAGCGCATGATACATGAGACGAGACGGATGACGTGCGGCATATTCGCAAATTAAATGCATACACATTTTAGAGGTTGAACGACTGCGGGGCAATAAGTTATGCCACGGAAAACGACCAACAGTTTTGTACGATATACTGCTATCACCGCGCGACATAGAGACAGAGCTGCCATTTTTTTTCTGCGCTTTTCTTCCTTCTCCCACAAAGTCACAATTTTAATGTAACAAGCGTGTGCTATCTTTTTATTTCGTCCTCTTAACATCATTCCAAAATGCATGTACACTAGAACACGGTATTCCACAATTTTCAATTGTGCCGCAGGTTGGGTATTTTTTCCGGTGAATGCTTTCATTGTGCGCTCTCATTTTCCACTCGCCCGCACTCTCTCTTTCTCTATCGTCGGTCGCTTTCGCCTCGAAAATTTAGCGAGCAAAATGTAAATTTTATAAATTGTATACGAATTCACATTAAAATGCGTGGTAAACACATTATGCAATGCACATAATAATGATACAGTTGTTGCTCCAACTTGTACAAAAGGCAGAAATGTCGTTCGCTTTTTTTTGGCGCATGGCGCCTAATGCAAATTGTGCATACCTGTAACCGGACAGCGAAAGATAAAATGGTATACATACGACGTATGTAGGCATCCGATATCAAAAATAACGGCCAGAGAAAATCCAGCGAATAGTGTGAATGACGGTAGAAAACGAACACGAAAATCCATATTCATCACACACATTTCAACCGCACGCATCAAGTGAAATGATGCATCGTTCGATGCACTTCATGCATATTTCCGTATAGTTTTCGCGCATCTCGTGTGGCATTCGTATCGTTGATTAGGCAGAATCCCGGGCCAATTAAATGGTTTCACGTTTCATTTGTCTCTGTCTCGAAAATAATACCAGCATGTGTTTAGAGCTAATCATCAATTCAGATTTCGTTCGCGATTGGTTCTGTTTCGAATTGAGAATCTCCATACACGTCGGTGTTGTTGGGTTTGGAATGGATTTTAGCATCAATTATGACAAATTCTACATGCTATTATAGAACGAGCGCTTTTCAATTTGAATGCTAGCTTCTTTCGATGCGTAATTGGCTTTTAGCAAAGAAGAAAAAAACACACCTTTTTCAGTGCACGATTTGGTTCAGTGTTTCACCAAAGACGCAATGTGTCGAAATAATGCCTGATCTGTATGAAAATGATTAATTGACATAAGCGTTGGCGGTTCGTGTTTTTTCTGCTCGCATAAATTTTAATCAGATTGTGGCCAATCCTCGAAATAAATAGCCATGAGCAAAATAACGCTCATCATATGCAAAATGATTATGACTCAATTTAAAATAATTCAAAACCGAATTTAGCTAACACATCCGACTCATCCTGTTCATACCGACTTTATTTTTGTCTCGTTTACGAAATGATACAATAGCTGCGCTCCAATTTTGGGTTCAGCTTTGAAAAATGGGGCACATTTCAATGATAGAATTCGGTGCATATTTTCGACAAGCATGAAATACGTCATAGCACTGTATAATTTGGCAAAAAAAAGAGAAGCATGTGATTTCAATTTCGGTGTGTGAGACGTGATTTTCCGTGGAATATTTTAATTTTCCAGCAAGTGACTGAGCGCCAACGTCGTTTGCCCAACGATTTACTCACACATAACACACACACACACACACACCGTATTCTAACCGAAAATATTAATATTTTTTTCCCTTCTGCATTCAGTCGGTGTGTGTGTGTGTGTAAGCTCGAGCAAAGAGATTTATGCTTTGCTTCGGTTTAACATCGCGGTGAACATGATGTTCTTTTCACTGTTAATATTACCGTCGATGGTGCTCTTGATTCAAGCAGCTGTGTAATTTTCTCAACTCTGACATATTTTTAGCGTGCGGCCCACAGCTCTCTAAAAAGGATAATTTAATTCGAACGAAAGACACACGAAAAGAAAGAGAATACGTGATTCTTTTTGCCAACTTCTCCGCGCTCTAACCATCATCAAATCTGTGAGTGCAGCCAAGACTCTTTGCTGTGTTCGATGCTACAGAAGCATTTGGAAACGAAGAGAGAAAAAATTGTTTCGGTTTTCTTAAGCATTCAGATAGATCATAAACTCCAGCCACCCAGGAATGCGCATTTCATCGACTTATAGGCAAACTTGAAGTGCTTGTTTTTCATTTGATTGCACAAGTGCCGATTTTTATCACAGAATTTTACTTTTGGAATGCCTTAGACATATTATTTTTGACCCTTATTGTTGTTGATTCGGTAAAATTCTTTCAATTCTTTGTTAGATCATTCTTCAAATAATTGTTTTTTCCTTGTTTGGACGCGTTGGTGTCCGGTCAAAAAGCATGAGCCCATGTAAACCGCTACTAAAACAATGGACAATATCAAGGGATAAGAAACAGTTTGCAAACGGATGCGTAGCATTTGATTAAGTTCGGTTCGAAAACTAGTGAGTATGACTGACAAATTATTGTAATCATTTGGATATGTATGAGGGCATGTATTAACTTGGCACTGATTCACCAAATTAAGTTCGCATGCATTCTTGAATATGACATGTGGATCATTTCGCCAGATCCGATTGTGGTTTAACGCACTGGCGTACAATCAAATTGAGACTTATCAGCATGAGCTTCATTATTAATTAGGCTGCGTAGAAGAAAACAAAACAACGAAAAAAGATGCACTATGGCGAGAGAATGAGAGAGAGAGATGGAGAGCGCTTCGCATTTCATGCGAAGAAAAACGAGACTAGACAATTATGACGTTTATTTGGAAAGGTTAAAATTATTATGAATGAGTGGCAAGCACCTCCGTCAAACATGAATGTGCTTGGCTCACCAAAATTTTAATTAAGCTGTTGAAAATGTTTGTGAATGAGAAGGAAGATAAAGAGCTGAAGTTGAGAAATGAGTGCCGACGGCAAATCTCATAAGGCACAAGATTGGTTCGAACAATACAAAAAAAAATCAGTGTAAAATGAGTGAAATGTAAAGCGTACTCACCGTTCAGGTACATTAAATCATCGTATGATTTGTTCAAGATTTAGCTTCGAATATCTGCAAAAAAAAAGTCGGAAAACTAGGTTCTCAAATTAATTGCTTCGATTACTATCAGTTTAGAGTATCAATTAAACGACAGACCACGTCTGTCGAGAGCATATATGTATATGAGAGTATATATCGAGTATGTGCTTTCGAGAGCATCTCAGCTGCAGCTGATTCGATTATGCTCTATTGCAAATTATTTCGAATACATAATTAAATGTTTCATAACTGATAAACAATTTCCAGTTGGAAGCTTCGCTCCCATAATTTGCGCAGTGAAATTTAATCGTGGCACGAGATGGCGAAAAAATAAAGAGAAAAGCGAACCAACGCGCTTTGCATTTATGAGCGCTATTTTGAATATAAAATTAGATAATGAAATGAGCGGCAGCGGAGCCAAGCAAGTGCATGTCAGTGCCTGCAGAGATACTTCAATAAAAACTTTAGCTGAAAATTTAATTACAATTTTCGTTAATCGATGCTGCTGCATTCGATGCTGTTGTGTTGTGGCTTTATGGCATCGCATTTCATTGACGGTTCACTGGATACAGCTGCCATTTTTCCGCGCTGAAATTACTTTACAATTCGGAAACTGTCTAAAACTAGTTGCAACATTGTTGGCCGATAAATAGAGATTACTTCATTGTTAGATATATAAAGAGAGATATAGAGAGAGAGAGAGAGAGAGAGAGAGAGAGAGCACACGGCATATCAAGCTCATGAACATATTATTAGCGTGGCGAGTGTATGTCAAAAATGCAAACGAAACGATGATCGAAATTGAAAATCGATTTGAAACTGGAAGTCCATATTGAAATGCCGATGCATCTGTGATAAATATTGGCGCACACCCATTAATATTTACTTTATGTTGGCGAACGATGAATTCGGTAGTGGCGCGTTTGAAATTCCCCATTATTTGTGACTGAACTGAGTGGCCAGCTGGGCATGACTCCATGTACAATTGGCCCGGAATGAATCTATGTACGCACACGGACAGGAGCTTGTCTGCAAATATGCAAATAATGTAAAGCCCCATTTACAAGATCGTTAAATTGCTGTGTAGATTGAATTAATTGTATAAATTTAATTTTTAAAAAAATAACAACAACGGCAACAACGAGAAGGATGTCCTAGGTACAACTAATAAATTAACCACATTTCCATGCTGTGTTCCTCTTTCTCTGTGTTCGTGCGTAGTGTATCCAGCTAGGTCGCGAACGAAAAAGCACCCTAACGTGCGGACAGATTATGGACACCAAAAATACCCGGGTGAACGCGATACGCTTTGATGAAAGCCTACAGTCGTTCGATGAGGCTTTCATAATTTTAAATACTGAACGCCTAGGCTCTCATTGTTATTCTCACTTCTTTCGTGCATTCGTAGCATTGAAAGCCTAGCGTGAAACATACACACGTACAACTGAACGCCTAGGCTTTCAATGCTACGAATGCACGAAAGAAGTGAGAATAGCAATGAAAGCCTAGGCGTTCAGTATTTAAAATGTATATAAAAATTATGAAAGCCTCATCGAACGACTGTAGGCTTTCATCAAAGCGTATCGCGTTCACCCGGGTGCCTCATCAAATCGCGTCCAATGCACAAAAATCCAAATATAAATAATTTCGCATTGGCCGTACTTGCAATTCGTTCGACAGAAGCAGGGTATGTTTTTTGCGAACTCACTCACTCACGTGTGCGCGCACATACTCACTACCAATTTCCAGTTGGTTTGCGCGACCAGAAATCGATACACGCATTCATCAACCGCAATATTTGGCCCGATCGTCGTCGGCGGTTGTATGTGCATTGCACTTGCAATTATTCGATACAGAGATTCATTAAATATTTGCCGGCCCGACAATAATTAAAATTTGCGTTCATTCCAACCGAAATGTTGTTGTTTCACTGTCGCTGTCGTATTCGCGCTCCACCGCATCAATTCACCTAGGCAACCGGAACTCGCGTGTAACGAGCATCACCGTGATTGTGATTGTGATTGTTGGACCTAATTAAAATTGTATGCATCACACATAAATTTAATTGGGTTATAAAATTATCAAAATATTTCCAAATCCATTAATTTTAATTCAATGCAAAATCGATCGATCGCCACAGCAAAATCTCTCTGCCAAAACAGACACCGAATTCGAAACAAACGGAAAAAATAGCGTGCACTGTACACGTAACTGGTCATTTTTTGGTGCGGACGATTCTATGAAAATGATGCCATTTTTGTTGTGCATCGGCCACGCTTCCTTTGTTCAACCAATTGAAACAATAGAATTTTTATTGGAAAATTGTTGTAAAAACATAAACACACTCACACACACACACACATACAATTTTCCGATAGTTTTTCGTGTGCTAATTGTATGATGGGGTTTTGCATTTATGGTTTCGTGTTTCCGTTTCGCATGTGATTTATAATAAAATTGCCACAAATCGCAACTATGCCAGTGATTCAACTGTTGTTGATGACCAATCGTTGAGTTTATAGCAATAGCAACGCTCAAATTATCACTGATACAGGCAGACCCATTCGGTCATCGGTCATTCGTTGAAAAACACTCAAATATCGATTGCATTTCAACGGTCAATCAATTTTACACACATGAAAAAAATATAATATTCATACAGAGACACACAATCGAACCATTTCATTCTCTCAGAACATTCCACATTCATTGCACTCCATCCATATATATATGAAGTGAATATCAAAACCCAACACAAAAGCGTAATAAAAATAAAAATCATCGAATTGAATGCGCACAATTTGTGGACGCAATTTAGATGTGGGTCACATTTATGTGTCATAATTAGTGCATTGGCGATTGTCTGCAGTTCAATGCAGCATAGGAATGTAATTAAAAGTTGATGAAACTAAATAGATGCAAATTGCAAAACTGCGACTGTAAAATTGGGTATGCGAACATGATGGCGCCCAAAATGAGTAGTACATCGAGGTTGAACTGGCAAAATTGCATGCGGTTGACCGGCAAATTTTGCAAACATCATGCGGTTTCAACTATGAAATTCAACATTTCAAAATATTGTTTATCAGCAATCCAAAGCACACACCATAATCGATGCAGAATTTAATTAAACTAGATTGAATTTGAACCAGAGCTATTTTTCGTTAACATACACAATTGGTAATGGGTAGCTTTTTTCTTCTTCTGCGGTTCCACTGCAACCACTGCACAACCAAACAATTTCGTTTCAATGACCACTTACAACAATGTGTTCTTTTCGTCTCGTTCGGAATGGAATGAGCAAATATATTTACTTTTTCTGTCCTGAATCAACCAGCAATTCTTCAATATTGTTGTAAAAGATAAATTAATAATATGATTACTGGCGGGTGAATATTGATTTATTTGCCTTTTTATTGTTATTGTTTCCATAGAAATGGTGACATAGATCTTTTTTGTCTGTGTGTTTGGGTTAAATTGCGGCCGTGTTCCGGTTTTACCTTGAATCATATCTTTTGGATTCTTTTGTTCATCAAAACGGAAGTCGATTGAATAGAACAAATGTTTCTTCGACCGATTCACTCCACATTTCAAAAGAATGTTTATTTAAGTAAAAAATATTCATGAACCGTCGTTCATTGATAATCACGATGGCCTGTCGTATTGTTACGAGAAAAAAAAGGTCTATAATAGCTAGCCTTTGATCACATCGAACAGAAATTTAAATAACTTTTTCATCTGTTTAGTTACATTTGCTTTTGTATCCATTTGTTTTTCGTTCGAATCAAAGAATTTTTGGTGTTTCTAAATCGAAAAGAATTTCAGGCCGCGTGCCGGAAAAAAAACCGTGAAATGTGAAAATTACAAGAGAGAGAGAGAGAGAGAAAACGCATGAATTTTCAATAATAGCATCAATCAATGATTCCGATTTGCATATCGCTTAAAAAAGAGCGATAAAGAAGAAAGAGTTGTGGCCAAACACCGACATTCAATTTCGAATCATAATGACTCGTGTTTCGATCTCTAGTCGTCAATGATTAATTGCATTTCGATCGGTTGCGTTGTCGCGCCATTCCTCAATAATGGGGACTTTTTTTTCTCCTCATCTTCAGAAATTCGGAATTTTGAGCACATTTTCGACTCTAATTTGCACTTTGCCACGATCTTAATAATTTGTCGGATCGTTTTTCGATTAAAAACAAAATATTATAATGAAGACATTGTCGAGCAATATTTTGGACATCCTCCGCTGTGTTGTTCTGGTTGATTGGCCGCTGAATGACTTAATAAATAACCCAGAATATTAGCTAATTTACGACATAATTATAAGTAATGACGTCAAATTATGGCAATAGATGTACCCGAAAAAGAAAATATCATGTTGATTTTTTTTTTTAATCTCAAAAGTATCACTTTTGCTACAGCAAATAAATCATACACATAGCCAACGAAAAAAAGACTCGATTGCTATTGTGCACATCTCTGTTCACCGCATGAATTTCCAATTGCAATTTCGCTAAAGTGTTGGATTTAATTTAATTTATTATCCATCTGTGGATTGCATCCACTCGAAAGGTTGTATAACGAATAATGACGAATTGCCAATAAATTTTCCGATAAAATATTTGCAAAAATGAAAAATGCGAAAAATGAATTGGAACTCGGGAAAGACGAACAATAACAACAACGAATAGTGCAGCTATTCAGAAATGCAGAAATGAACAAAGCACCCGGATGGTTTCGTTCGATGCACGTGAGATGAAAAGAGATAAGAAGAGTGTGTGTGTGTGTGTGTGTGAGAGAGAGAATGAAATGCATGTCGATGAAATTGTGTAATTCACGTGAAAATGACATGACAAGCGCCGTGTACCAACAACTAACCGATCCAATGTCGAAATCACACTCGCACAGCGTTTTTATCGCTTCGCTCTTCGGTTTGTCCCGTTTTCGATGATGCTGATCATCACATCGATGAAGATGAAACCGAAATTTCATTTTTAAACAGCAGTAACACGCTTCATGCCATTTTTCTT